CCATCGTTTTCAATGAAGCTAAGGGAAAGAGAGAAGCTGGGAGCAAGAGCTTTGGGAGGTCCATACTGCAGAAATAATCCAGTTTGGGCCTTTACAGACTGCAAGAAATAATGCAGCTTGAGGCCACTTTAACTGTCCTGGTTCAGTGCTAAGGAATCATGGGAACTGTAGTTTATTGTGGCACCAGAGCTCTCTGACAGAGAAGGCTCAATGTCCCAGAAAAAAATACAGTTCCCATGATTCCCTAGCACTGAGCCAGGACAGTTAAAAGTGGCCTCAAGCTGCACTATTTCTGGCAGTCTGCAAAGGCTCTTTGAGACCCTTTTAACTGCCCTAGCTCAATGCTAGGGAATCCTGGGAAGTGTACTTGCTCCTGCTCCCAGCCTCTTTCTTTCAGCTAGTCTCAAAGGTGCAGCAAGAGCCCCTCTGCACACTGATTTTAATCCAGACTAATAACTCGGCTAGGCCTTTGGATTTCAGGGCAGCAGCTGTTTGCGTGGCAAAGGCATGCGCAGGCTTGGCGGTGTGGAGTCCCTGGGCCAAAGGGGAGGGAAATGGATGGGGATGACGCAAGGCCAAGGGAGCCGTGCCAGGCCAGGCCTGTAACAGCATGGAGGCCCCAAAGAGTGGCGTGTCCTGACTCGCTCCTTCCCTTGGCCTCCCTCAGTCAGGGGCGGCAAAACCAAGCCTGTGCGTGTTTTCTCGGAAGGAAGCTGCATTCCCTTCAATGGATCTTCTGGGCTCTTGTGGTTAACAGTGCATTGGATTTTTTAATTTTTTGAACCGTAGGTGGAAGGGAAGCTGTGCTGGCCATGTAGCAAAGTACGATAACGTCCAAAATCCACAAATCAGTGATCCCTTTATGGGGCCAAACAAAATGCGCAAAATACATGTGGCAAGCTTTCAAAGCTCCGCTGGCTTAAGGATTTAGGTGGGTCAAGTCTATATCAGATTTTTGTAGGAGAACCACCGTGATGTCATGGTTTGAGTGCTAGACTTGAGCTACGGCTGCACAGCAGAGTTAATGCAGTTTGGCACCGCTTTAACTGCCCTGGCTCAATGCTATGGAATTCTGGGATTGTTAGTTTTGTGAGATATGTAACCTTCTCTGACCAGAGTCAGTGTGGTGTAGTGGTTTGAGCACCGGACTATGACTCCGGAGAGCAAGGTTTGAATCCCAGCTGAGCCATGGAACCCACTGGGTGACCTCAAGCAAGTCACACTTTCTCAACCTCAGAGGCAAAAACCCACTGAATCAATCTTGCTAAGGAACCCCCGGTGAGATTACCTATCACTAGGTTTTCTTGGGAAGTTTATCCAAACGCCAGCTGAGCGGATGTCCTAACACCGCAAAGGAGGACATCCGAGGATAAAACTGGAAACACGACCAAACAAAACTCCTATAAATTTAAAATCTTGTTCAGAATGGAGGACATTTTGACATTCCTCCTGGATAGAAGGCTGAAATGCTGAGACATGTCCTGGAAAAGGAGGACGTCTGGTCACCCTGTTCGAAGGGAGGGGTTGCCATGGCCTTCCTCTGAGGCTGAGAGAGTGTGACTTGCCCAAGGCCACCCAATGTTGTTGTTGTTTTAATTGCATGCCAGAGCCAGGACTCCAACCCTGGTTCATGGGGGCCGGTGTGGATGCTGGGTCTTGTGAACGAGGAGGAGGAGGAGGAGGAAGGACTGTAGCAATAGGAACAAATTGTTGTGCAATGTGAGCTGGGTTGTTAAATACACACCAGAGTGCTGAGTGGCAGCAGGGTTTCACACGTGTGTGTGTGTGTGTGTGTGTGTGT